TATATATAGATTGTACTATTTAGTGTCAGAAACATAAATAATTTTAACATTCTTAGTTAAGCCAGATAATTTATAAAGAGATGCAAAAATTTGTGAATTTAAAAGCATCTAAATCTTTAAGGCGAAGGTGTGGAATAACTTTGGAATAGGATAACCTATTGAATCTCTGTAAATTTCATCTAAAAGCTCTTTAAATAAAATTTAAGTTGAGTACTATATCATATGTATGTTGTCTTAAAATTGAGTCCTATTCCGCTATGCCAAATATGAAATTTGTTGTTGCACTCGTTTTTATTCATAATGAAATCTACTTCCATTTCGGCTGCCGAATGGCAGTTTTTTAGTTATATTATAAACAAAAAAATGAACTTTCACTTTTTTATAAATTATTTAAATTTTACGCTACCAATTGAGCTTTCCTGAGTTGAAAAAATGAACTTAACTGCTATACTAAAACAATTGATTTAAATTCATGTAGTTTCATTTTTCCGACTCGGGTTAACTTGCAGAAATTAAAGTTCTCTAGAACTTTTTAGTATGCAACGAGAGCGGTTTCAATTAGACCATTTGCTTCAAAGAATATTCAAAAGTTGCACGCACACAGGCGCGCGCACCCTTCCATCTTAAAGCAATTAAACTTAGTTTCCTCAAATTTCACTTCTAGACCTTATGAAAATTCAATTTAGTAAAAATCGGATTAAAAATAGTAACTTGCCTAATTCTTGAAAATTGATATAAGTTCTATCCTTTTTTTTTTCATCAAGGTATTTTCTTATCTAGTGTGTTAAGTTAAAGAAAAAAACTTTATGGAAAACAAGTTGTTTTAGAAAAAAAATTGTCAAATAATGAAATTCTCATAGTAAGCTTAAATAGAATAATTATTACTGAATCTTCGAAATATCTTATTGGGAATATATCATCTGGGGAAGATTTTTAGTAATATTTTATCTAGAATATTTTATCCAAAGATTTTATTAGAAATATTTTTTATCCGAAAATCTAAACACATGTCTTATCTCTGATTAAAATACATCTTAAATATTTTGAGCAAATTTTTGTTAGTTACCTATAACGAAATTTGACGATCAGTATTACCATAAAAATAGGAGCGTATGTTCCAATTGACCTTCATATGAGCAAATTTTTATTTCCAGATGATTGATTCTGAAGAAACTAAAACACACATGAGCAAAAAACGGTACTTAAATAGGCGAGGCATCGACCCAGAACTCGTACACGCATGCGTTAATATTAAACCAACGGTATTTGTAAAATTACAAAAGCCATAACAAGAAAAAAAAATTAATTAGTCTTCGATGTTATATGTTATATGTTTCGATGCGATGAGTGATCGAGTTTGTATAAAAGTTAGTGCCTGATGTTATTCAAAGTAAACGTTAACAAGTAAATTGGTTTTTTTACTGACATTCAAAAATGAATTTGGTCGCATAGTAAGTTTAATACAAATATTGTTTTTATACATTTTATACTAATAAAAAAGTCTGCAAAATCATTTGTTATTAAAGTATTACTTTAAAATTTTCAAGTTTCATTTTTACTATTAACACTCGCAATTTTGATTAACGACTAATTTCATTGTTTTATCAATAAAAATAATTGAAATAAAAGACAATTTTAAATGATTCAAGAAATAATCAATAAATTCAATATATCTTACAATTATATGTTACTATCACTTACGAACAATATTTTTTTCTTGACAAAATTTACTTTTTAAATGACTACTACTGCCTTTTTTCAATTTTCAAATTCGTTAATATCTATATTAGAGTTATAAAAATTATGAGATATTTATAAAATTCCAAATTTTTAGGTGATTTTTAACCGACCGTCACTTAAACAGAAATGGTGGAACCGACAATATAAAATCAATATTAATTTTTTTGAATTATTTTCTTAAATTAATGGCTATTAAAAATCTTGCATAAACCATTAAAATGAGCGTTTGAGGAGTGTAGTTTTGAATTTTCAAAATCTTATTTTTTTTTTTTTTTTGACTAAAAGGTAAATTTTTCTATACTTTTTAGTACATATTTACTGAGCAATTTCATTCTTTCAACTTCAAATACTCTACGCTTATCCCGTGACGTAAATTCTTCTCTTCAAAACAATAACAGAAAGAATTGGGATTTTAAAGTATATGATGAGTATACTGCGATGTTTCTAAAAAATGCAAATTTTGAAGAAGCTGAAGATTATGGATTACAAGCAATGAATTTTTTGTTTGAAATAGAAGAAAAAAAAATATTTGAAAAGGGTAAGAAAATTATTAATTAGGATATTATTATTGTTTTTAATAAATAATCTTTTTCATAGGATTATTTTTGAATTCCAATCATCCAGCACACTACGTTGCAGCATTCAATTATCAAACTGATGAAGCAAAAAGCTTCGCTAGAGTAGCATATGCTGCTTTGAAAGGCTCCAGAAATTTGATTGAAAAGTAAAAAATTTATTTACTTACTAATTGAAAAATAAAACTATTGATTATTTGAGTGATGACTGGATTATTTATTTTTAAGGGATATCAAAAAAATTCTTCTAAGTTAAACAAATGCAATAAATTTAATGTAGGATATTTAATTTTCTCAACTTTGATAGACCTTTTTTAGTCTATGTAGGTTGATTTTTCATTCAGTACGTTTAGATCGCAGTAACCAACAATCACACAGTCAATTTTAAGAGAATGACATTTTGCTAAAATCAACACTCGTTGTCGCTCAATTCAACTCTTACTCCTAAATTCAAGAATCGCTTTTGTTCTACCCTTTTCTTTTGTGTTACACTTTCCGTCACTATACTGTTTCGTCCCCCGCTAATATCGACTTCTTAGAATTGAGAGTCCCTTCAAAGTGATTTTAGCGAGATTAGATTGTAGTTTCAGAAATTTATTTAACTTGAATCTAAACTGATAAGAAAATTTTCTTTTGAGCAACTCAAGAATTTTTCATTACTAATAACCTGATTTCCAAAAGGTTTTTCAATGAAACTTTAACCAATAATTTGGAGTGGAAATCTTCAGCATTGTGGACGCGACAAACAGCAGGATTCCAAGAACGTTGTCCCCGGAAAAATAAGCCCAGTTGTCCTCCAGCGAGTATTAAATATCGAACGGCTGATGGGAGATGTAATAATTTACAACATCCTTGGTGGGGATCAGCTATGTCAACAATGCAAAGGTAAATTTTCTTTTTACTTTGCAACGTACACCAGCTTACAACATGTACTGATTGCGCGGCATATTTAAACAAAATAATAGCAATTTATAAATTTAGTACTTTACTACCCCTCTTTTGTTCGCAGCCTATTGTTTCTCACCTTCATACTAGTAGTCAGTTTAAAGAATACTCAACATCAACAATCAATTATATTCTGTTTGATCGATTATGTTCATGTTTTAAACTATGTCTATTTTCGATACAAATAGTAATTAAAATAAAGTTAGATTAAATAGTTAAAAATATACGGTGTCGAATACATACATTCGCTGTGATGAAAATTGTAGCAAAATAATGTAGCAAAAAAAAAATAAATTTTATTTCGAGGTGCATAAAAATCTTATTCATTATACAGTCAAATTTTAGGTAAAAAAGCTCACGAATTGCTCGCTTCCTTTTACTTTTAGGTATGTCGACACTATTTTCATTGAATAAAAATCAATTAATGACAAAAACCGATTAACGAGTCACAAGAATAATTTAAATGATGAAATATCTCTAAATCGTCTTATTAGGAAAATAAACTGTAAGATATAAATTTTGCTTCCTCGTCTCTTATCAATTTCTTTCCACTTATTGTCAGTGGTAATCGGAAAAAATAGACGGGAAAAAATAGACTCGGAAAAAATAGACCGGAAAAAATAGACCCGGAAAAAATAGACCCGGAAAAAATAGACTCGGAAAAAATAGACTGGAAAAAATAGACCCACACGGAGAAAATTAAATGATAGCAGTTATTATCTATTTATGTTAAAACTTTTTACCATCAACCCGATGGTAGTGACAACTACCTGAATGATTGTATAAATCATATTTATGGTAACTGTTACAATCATGTATGTTACTTAGAGATATAGTTACAGTTATCATTTTAAATGGTTGTATTTACAATCTAGATGGTTACAGTTACCATCAGAAATTGTAGTAGTTAACATCAGAGATGATTAAAGTTACGATCTAAGGTAAGTAGAATTTAAACATCAGCGCCACAGTTAAAAACGAAAATATACGTTATTTTTTAGTTTTCATCGAATCTCGACGTTTCGAGGTCCTAGGAAGCTTCCTGACTATTCCCGCAATGGTGTCCGTGTGTGTCCGTGTGTGTGTGTGTGTGTGTGTGTGTTTTTTTTTTTCCCTTTAGGGGGGGAATCCTTTTTACGGATTCTAGGCATAGATGTTTAGCCTGGATATGTGGCGACTCGACGCAGCGTCATACTAAAACTTGACGCTGACGCCCCTACCCACTAAACCCTAAACCCCTTTCTCTTCTATCCTCTGATCCCCCATGGTACCGCCGTCAGACATTTCTTCGCGGGGGGAGGAATTAGCTGCCGCTCTTCCTTCTGGTGGCTAAGATGTTATTTCTTCCTTCTAGATTCTGTCTTTTGCTCTTTTTCTCTCGATGGAACGCAGCTCTGTAAGCACTTCTGTAGCAAAAGTGTTCGTTGCATTCCAGGCAGCTTCTGAAGACAGCATTGCTTCTACGATTGACTCTGGTTGAATTGTCTTCTTCAGGATCTTCTCCAGCTCCTCACGTTGTTGATTGAAACGCGAGCACTCGAACAAAACGTGCTCTGCATCTTCAGTGGCTCCGGGGCAGGACGGGCACTCCGGAGAGTCGTCATGCCTAAAGCGGTGAAGATAAGCCCGAAAGCAGCCATGTCCTGACAACATCTGCGTTAGGTAGTAGTTGACCTCACCGTGATTCCGGTTCAGCCAAATGTCGATCTTTGGTATGAGTCGATGCGTCCATCTACCCTTCTCTGCGGCATCCCACTGAGATTGCCATCCATTCAAAAGTTATTGCTGTTTGAAAATTCCAAATATAGTGTTCTATGAAACTTCTATCAGACTTTTGAGCTAGGAGAGCTCAAATGCATAGAAATATTATTTTTTTGAACTCAGTGAGCTCAAAATATCACATAAATTATATTTTGAGCTCAAAAATCTCAAGAATGTCATAAGTACAATTTTAAGCGCCCAGGAATGGAATTAGCGGGAAGTTGCACGGATGGCCTTTAGGGTGAACCGTTTTTCTAATTTTTTTTTATAAGACTAACGAAAAATGTAAAACTGTGATGAGGATAACCTTTCCATCAATATTAAGAGCTCAAATTTGGTGAGCATTTTCTAGAGGTGCCTGAGAACTAACTTTTCAATTTCGAAAGTTAAAAAAAATTATTCGATTTTCTTGAATCACCTTAATATATATAAGAACATAACTCTGAAAACGGTAAAAGTAATTTCCTAGAACCTTAAAATGTCAAAATCTAATGGAATCTCGAATTTTAAAAATAAGACTGAACTCAATAATTCAATGTTAATAAATTTTGTATGTATTTGTTTGTATGAAGGATTTATTTATAAAATTCTGTAAAATTTTAATTAACTTAATTCCAATCTTTTTTTAAGGACCTCAAATAATAAAAATATTTGGACTTGACCTTAAAGAAACTGGTTATTATGATGACTATGATCCAACACTAAATCCGAATATTGCTAATTCTTTTGCAACTGCAGCTTATCGCTTTGGTCATTCCTTGGTTCAACATAGCTTTGCCAGATATGATGGAAAACATAATCTTATATTCGACAGTTGGTATACAATTTATAAAAAAAAAAAACTTTTTTTTTATATAACTTATTAAATTTTTTTGTAGATATCTCCATACATGATGAATTTAAACATAGAGAAAACTTACTAAGTCCAGGATCTGTTGATCGTTTACTATTAGGGTTAATAAATCAAGTTTCACAAAGAAGAGATGAGTTCATAACTAAAGAACTAACGAAGCACCTTTTCCAGTTTCCAAATTTTCCGTTTGGCATGGATCTTGCATCAATTAATATTCAACGAGGTAGAGATCATGGATTGGCGCCTTATGTTAAATGGCGAAAACCTTGTGGCTTGTCAGCAATTCGTACATGGCAGGACCTAGAAAAAATTCTGTCAGCTAAGACCGTTAGCAAATTAAAAAGCTTGTATGAAACTTTAGGAGATATTGACCTTTACGCTGGAGGATTATCAGAGAAACCAATTCTTGGAGGTATTGTTGGACCAACATTTGCTTGTGTTATTGCTCAACAATTCAACCATCTACGAAAAGGGGACAGATTTTGGTATGAAAACGGAAACTTAAATAATAGTTTTACTTTAGCTCAAATCAACCAGATCCGTCAAATTTCACTTGCTAAAATATTGTGTTACACCGTAGACAGTATTGAAACAGTTCAACCCTTCGTATTTCTAGTCGCTGATAAACTTAATAATAGGAGAATGTCATGTAAAAAATTTAATCAATTCAATCTAATACCTTGGATTGATTTTAGAAAAAGTAATCAAGAACATAATAATATCTTACATGATATAAAGATGAACATTAACCTTACAAACTCTAGAAATCAGTCTAGAATGTTTCCAAGACTAAAACCTAAGCCGATCAAAGCTAATGTAAATCAGAAAAATAACATTGTAATGAAGTGGCCTTTCGGATCATCTTATGAAAATGTTACAATAATTATAGAAAATCATGTTTTCAACTCACCTACAGTAATCAATAATGCAATTCGTGGAGTTTCAACAGATTATTTAACTAATCTAGAGCCACATAAGGATGAAACTGGTAAAAAAAATCACTTGCCGTCATTAAATCAAAATTTACTATCAAAATTTATAAATTTTAACAATTCCAAAGAGAATTCCAAATCAATGTCATATATAGAAGATTTTTATACCGATGAATTACCGAAACCTATTAAATTAAACCATTAGCTTACATAAAAGATAAGAGTGTGAAGAAGTTATTTAAAGAGAGTTATGTTGAATTGTAATCTATATTAATTATTAAAGATTAATTATTAAGGAATATCATCTTATGTTAATATTTTATTTTATTCATTTTCATCCAGTACATAAAATGTTTGTTTACACCGAAACAAAGGAAATCTAGACTCAGAAAAAATATTCTTAGCTCAGAAACAATTTTAGAAAAACGACGAATATTTTGATTCAAGTAAATGTAAGCAACGCTATTCTTATTGCTGACCCGGGAAAAAATGATCAGACCTGATCAGATATGAACAGGCATGAGTCTTCAGGCCTGATCAGGCATGAAAAATGACCATGCCTGATCAGGCATGAATCGACCTGATCAGGCCTGATCAGACATGGTCAGGTCTGAAAGCCCATTGTTACTTTTAATTAATTATTTTGCTTTATTTTATGGATATAGTATTTGATAGAGTCATACGCAATTCTCTATAATGAATTAAAATAAAAAAAAAATGATTACATATAATTATACGGCTGTAACATCAGCAGTCACCCATCCAAGTACTAATCACCTTCAATGCTGCTTAACTTTGGTGATATCCGTGCTTCTTGAAGTTCCCGCTTGCTGTGCTGCTATCTTATGTGTCAACAATTCTATGAAGTACATAACGTATCAAATAAGTTTATCATAAATATAAGATGAAAATTGATTTTATTATATATTTTGATAGTCCTAATTTATTTATTTAACCGAATCTCATTATAACATCACACTTATTTGAATAATAAAATAAGTAAAGATTTTAATGTTAGGCAGGAGCAGAGCAGACCAAAACATTCCATAGGAATTGTAACAAATTTTTTATTCCAAAATTATTTAAACGTAATGATAAAAATAATTTTGCACATTTTGTGATGACCAAAAAAGTTTTTTT